TCCATGCAGGCACACAGTTTGGCATGGAGATTCAAACTTCCAGACTGTAGATTTGCCCGTCAAGCTGCATATGACAGAGCTGGATTTCAGCCTTTCAAGTTGCAGAGCAAATTCTGTTTTAGGGGAAAAAAAGATTTCAGGATTTAATCTTTGTAAAACCCTAGTTTTTCATTCTCTGATCCATGCAGAAAAAACAGTGTGTCAGAAAACTTCATTTTTTTTACAAAGCTAGACTCCCCTTTGCTAGCCAGTTATGTTTTTGTCTCTTACATTCCAACAGCAACCTGGTCCCAGACCTGAGCGCCCAGGGCTGCACCACCTCTATCTCCTCCATCCTGTTTTTCCTACAGTCCTTTTGGACCTTACCAATGCAACAGACAAAGTTATTGCTTCAGCAGGTGAGTATAAATGGAGGAGAAACTACCTAGACTAGAAATACAAAGAGAGAAGTAGCTGTGAGAAATAATGGTCTGTAGTTGTGCTTTTAAAGGTAGCACCTAAGGTCCACCACACATAGCACAACAATGATTAGTCCTCCTTCTGAAGGAGCATCCTGTCCACCCTCTACTTTGCAAATAAAAGACCCACAAAGCTTCTTACACATTTAACCAATGAAAGGTTTAAGTTTGATTTAATGCATATTTTACACCAGAGAAGTTGTGTTGCTTTCCATGGACCTATTTTTAATTTAATTCAGTGCATAAAAAATAACTATAATACTTTTCTGTCACCTCAGATACATTTCTGCTTTTGTTGGCTATCTCCTGCTCTTTGGGATAGGAGCTGTTCTGCTTCTTCCTCTTTCTTTTTGTAAGAGGGAATCCAAAATGCAGAAGTGTGTTTTCAGGCAAAAGTAGATCTGGATTTAACATCTATACAAGACTGTACAATTGCTGTTCCATTTCCTTGCTATTTCTAAAGCAGTTCAGCAAATAGCCAGCCTCTTGTGCATGGGAATGTGGGATGAAAGATCAGTTCATCCAGAACTGAGAGAAGTAGGCCAAGAAGCATAGAAAAACTGCTGCATAGTAATAACATCTAATTGGACGTGTATCAAAAACACAGTTCAGTCAAGAACAAATAGAATACTATTTTTTCAGGGTTTTTTTAGAAACTAGGATTTCTGAGGTCTGTACAGATCATTCTGCAGTGACTGGAGTCACCTGACTTGCCAGTGCTTTACAAATTTCCCGTTTTATAGAGGTAAAGGGTAGCTACTAACAGGTGTGGGAAGGAAAGTTGAGAGTGACCTGTATTCATGAAGTATGCTCATATCCTATGTCAAGCCCAAAAGCATAACCTGGAACCAAACCCTGCCATTTCTGATCTATATTTCAGTTTCTTTCCTGGAAAACTGTTAAAATAATTTTCCCCTATCAACTAAAGTACTATGGAATTGTAAAGTTAGACTGAATATACTATATATATATATATGTATATGTAATACACTGAATATACTATCAGTCTAGTGGATGTTTTGACTGAGTAAGGGCTATAAGATTTCTTTTGGAAGAAAATCATTTGCTCCTCACCACTATTTTCTTGCCCTTTTCTGATGGACCAGTTGGAATTAATGATCTCCAAAAGGATGCATTTCACATCACTGTGACAACAACTGCAACCTCTGAAAAACAGCCAGGATTTCTCTCAGTCAGCAAGCTGGGCCTGAAGTGGGCCATGATGAGTCAAGGTCGAATGGTGTGGTTAAAGGACAGCAGCACTCCAAAAATCAGCCGTGGAGAAGTGAGGCGATTTCTTGCCCGGATGAAATTTGTTGACTTTCCTCAGAAGGTGAGATAGTGCAGGAATCCCTAATGAAATCCAGGCCTTTGAAAACATCTGATCTCCTCCCTACAGATGCAGTTAAGGTGCTCTTTGGGATGGAAAGAGACTGGTGGGATGCAAAGTGACTGCTTGCAAGATGACTGGCTCCCCTTTGGGCATAAGGTGGACAGATTTTGAAGCAAAGATGTGTTTAGGCAGTTGAACACAGCACGGGATCTTAGAAACAGGGATGATGATCATAAGAGACTGAGAGACTTGCAAAGAGATCAGAGAGGTGGGACTGAGATCACTTATTTTGAAATGGGCAGACAAGGGTCCTCCATATAGTGGTGCCCAGGTTCTGTTGCTGTAAATTACTGCTTTACCAGACTAGATGATAATAGATTTTGGCTTTAATGTTTGTTTGCCTTTCCTTCTTCAGCTCTAGCCTGGTAGTTCCTCAGATGTTGGTTGGACCTGTGGCCTGTGTGGGGAATATAGGAAGCTGCTCTGTGTATCTTCAGGAAAACGGCTATATAGAGGGAATGTCCCCTTTCTTCAGCTATCTGGGGAATGCTGCTGGAGGCTGGTTTGTCCTAGGCAGACCTGTTCTGTACCAGAGAAATCTTGTTCAGCAACTCCCCCTGCATATGCTGTTCTTGCATGCTTCCTTCCAGGTAACAGAGAAATGTGATTTTAGAGTTTATATACATATATATATAAAATCAGACTTTATATATATATGTGTTAATTTATACAATATATGTATATTTTTTGTATGTTTAATTTATGAACGAGATTTAGGACATGCCTTTTTATGTCCAAACAGTGTTCCCAAGCAGTCTAACAAGCTCTATGCCTAGAGTGGGCCATGATGAGTCAAGGCAAGTGGTGTGGCTAAAGGACACCTTTAATCTTTTTATGTTTGGAGAGAAGCCTCTGGTTCCTGCAGAGTTAGTCTTACCCACAACTTCTCCTGTGCTCTCAGCTTTCTTGTCCATGCTGTTGCCAGACTCACAAACTAGTTCTCTGTCTGAATTACCTGATCTAGAGAAAGATGGTATCCACAGCATTTGCCAGCCCCTTGCACTTGTGTCCTTCTTTCCCACTTCCAAGTCCAGGACACCAAGTTCAGGCATATGTGCATGATGTAGAAGTGAAAGATTCACGGCTTATTTCTCTCCATCCTTAAGGTTTGTATGAACCCAAATTGTCACTGTAACATCATGCTGCAGTCCAATGGGCAGTCTCCCTTTGCAAATGTATCACAGCCCCCTTGGGATAGAAATCCCTCAGATCTCAACTGTCACTGTAAAGGTCATTCAATCTTGTCATGGAAAAGCTGATTCTTATGCTGCTGCTCCAGGTTCAGACAGAGACAGAACTAGAAGGCTTTTCTGTACATTTTAACCCTATTCTGAGCTCAATATTGCAATTTCCTTGCCAGCCCTGTGTGCAGCTCCAGGAGGAACAAGCTACCCCTGGGACACATTTGCTCACAGTGTGCTTTGAACTGTGCCCCAGAGTATCCCATCATTCTCTATTGCATTTGAAGACCATCTGTATGAATTTTCTCGTAGTAGAAAAGATGATATAAAAGGGAACCATTTTGGTGCCCCAGTAGTTCCCCACAGTTTAGTGCAACAATATAGAAAGTGCTTTCCTAGTATGCCATTCTAAGTCTGGCCTTTGATATAAAACAGAGCAAGGCTGAGATGAGGATTGCAAAGGACTTTTCTGTCTAGCATGTGCCCTTCCAGCCTCCCCACATTTCCCCACGAGTTGTGAAGTGACAGCAGACTTTGACACTCCATCCAGATGGGCACATGAGCCATGGGTTTGCTCTCCTGGGCCCTTGACACCTCTTGTTGCTGTATCACTCTCTCCATCATCCCACATCTTTATAAAAAGCTTCCAGGGTAGCCCTTCAGGTTTAGCTGCAAGCCCCAAGGCTGGTCCTTGGGCCCTGATCTCCTAATGTCAGAGCCTGTGAACAGTTTGTATATGTTTAATGGTATTTTTGTGTAAATAGCTTTGTATATATTAGCACAACTGTAGCAATGGCTCTACGCCTGGCATTTTCCTCCAGACAGGGTTTAGTGTTTATAATATGTAGTCAGTTAATAGAGGTGCATAATAGGACTGAAAGTGTGAGGACCAGTAACATATGAGGGATTAAACAGGAGTGCTTCTTCCCTCCTGTCCAGCCACCACCTTGCTGGGAAAGGTGAATTGGCTGTTACCTAAGTAGTTACTCTTCTGAGATTCTTCCTGAGAGAACTGATACTCAAGAGCAGTGATGTTAGCTCCTCCTTAATGTGAATTCACCCTGCCCACACACCTCCCGCCCCCACTGTGAATAAAGAGTCTGTCTGTATATTGTTGGAAAAATGTATTTGAACTGCAGTGAAGCAAAATAAATACTGTGTACAGCATCATGTGTCATGTGAACCAGTGTTTCACTTTTGAGAGATTATGAGTTTGCTTGGGGTTTTGATTCAGGGGTTGTTTGGAGTACTTTTACAATGGACAAAAAGAAACAGGTGAGTTGAAGTAACATAAAAAGCAAAAGTCCTGCCAAATTCTTAAAGGTTGCAAAGAAACAGTAAAAAGACGCGGACAGCAAGTACCTCAGAATGGGAGATTTTTGGGCAGAAAACAAGAAGAGAGCATGTGGGAGTCATTACAGATAGGAAGAGGAGGAGAGAGACATCTGAAAGCTACCACCTATTCCTACTGCAGTAGGACTTTTAATCTGGGGGCAAGGAGAAGAGTTTGGGCCTGGAAATTAAGAACAGAAAGAGTGTTCAGAGAGAGTGACAACTGATCAATATGAACACTGATCGCCTTCACCATAGCACTGAACTGGAGGTGTTGATGGAAGGTCAGTGTGACACCACCCAGTGCAATTTGCCATCTGGATGCTGCTCACTATCTGTTCCCAAGTGCAATACTGGGATTAGGACATCTGACTCAACTCTGAAAGTGCTTGGAGACAGCTGGCACCAGCATGTCCCTCCAGTTCCACCCTTGTCGGATGAGGGCACCCATCACACTTTATATGACCAGGGAGGACCCCCAAACTTCTACTCTAGTTGCCCTGACCCAGTGCCTGCCTCCTCACTCCCTGAAGAGACAGGAAGAGCTCTTCAAAACCTGCTAACAGTGGTGCCAGTGCTTGGTTCAGAGCTCTTGTGCCTCCCAAACCCCATTGCTCTGTCCCTGTACACTCATTCCTAACAGCGATCTTCCCCAACTGTCTGGCCCAAGACTTCGTCCAGGTCCAGCTCTGGTTCCCGCTGCAGTATTTTCTGCTGCAGATCAGTGTAGAAGTCGACTCCCTCAGAGACTGAATGGAAGACCTTGCCTTTGGGCTCATAGTAGCTGCTTATTTGCTGTATGAAGCACTGGTGGTGCTGAGGGTTCTCCTTGAGGCTCTCATCATATCCCTTGATGTGGTTCCTTTTGAACTCCAGTATTGTCTTGGTGTAGGTATTGAGAGTGGTGACAGCAGAGGCCATGCAGCAGGTAAAGGAGGCCCAGGCCATGCTGCCAGAGACACACAGAAGAAGCACATGCTGTGAAAAGCCATGTAGGGTAAGGAGCACCGTGACACACCCCAATTCTCCCTGATTTGCAAAGCAAAACCCACTGGGCACAGACATGAACTAGAGTGACTAAGGCTCATAGCATTACAGTTTTTAGGGGTTATGCCATCACAAGATTCTTCTTAGATCAGTGGGATAAATATTGGTCATCCCGATGACAGGGAAAAGGGAGTGATACAGGAAAAAGGGCAGCAGGAACGTCTGTAACTGGCCAGAGCAGGAGAGCACAGCTTGCATGCAAGGTCTGTATTGCAGGGCTGTACAGTGTCTTACTGCACATGAGGCTTATCTACCTGAGTGTAACCAAATTACCATCCTGGCATTTGATGTCCACGGGTGGCACACAGCACTGGAGTGTTTAAGATGTGGTCATCATCAATACAGCATTGCAAATTGAACCTGCACTTTCCATGGACACCTGCAAGACTCATCCAACTGTTTTTCAAGTCAGGTATGTCAGCTGTGCTTGGCTGCTTTATCCTTTAGAGAAAGACGCACTGAGCAACTTGCTTTTCACAGCTCCTCTTCTTGGCTCACAAGTGACACTGTGGTCTATTGCCTGCTTTCCCTCCTTCCTGCACGTAGTACCAGTGCAACTTCCATTATGCCTCCTTCCATTTTGCCTCCAGTGCAGCTTCCATTATATGGCTGGGCCAGCACTGGAGGAGATGGTATGACTGCTGTTTGGGGGCTGAACTGTGCCCACATCTTTAGGCACATGTCTAGGCTTGGTGTTGCAGGAATAGGCCCTTTGGCCCAATGTTGGTTAGTGAAGATGCCAAACCAACACACAACTTACTGCAATTGCAGAAAAACAAAGTGTGTTTGAGAGTGTGACACTGGCCTCTGCACACAGGGAAGAGTTGAGACCAAACAGGGCAAACCAGCTGAGGGGCAAGCCTAATTAGTCAGCAGGGCTGAAGGCAATTGTTCAGGTGTGAGCCCATTGTTTTCCCAGTCCTTTGGTAGCTATTCATTTAAGTAGCTACCATTTATTAAAACGGGGTGAGGCAAAGACAGGAGATTAGTAGTAGGAGAACCATGGAACACACAGGAGGTCAAGAAAGGAGGAGGAAGTGGGTGGCATGGCTGAAGCTCTAAACGCTGGGGAGGGGTGAAGATGGCTTCAGAGCTCACATACTAGAATGCCCAGCCATAGTCCCATGTGTGTGGTCTCCAGTCCTCCGGTCCCAGATTAACTGTTGCCTGGAAGACTTGACTGTACATCATGTGTGCCACCATCCCAAGGAGACCTGGACACAAAGGACAAAGCAAAGAAGTTACAGCAGGAGCCAGAGCAGCATACTTTAGCCTTTAGTGGAAAAGCAGGCTCTCCAGTGCTGGGATTCCAAGACCATAGTAATACACTTACCTGACAGCACTGAGGAGACAGCAGCAAAGGCATTGAGCTTCATCCCACAGACAGGATTGCCAGTATGCAGAATTTCCACCATCAGGAGGATGAAGCTGATGAGCAGCAAGCTGATGTACAGCATCTCTGAACCCAGTGACAGCCACAAGATTCCTGCCAGGAATACAGGATGAAATCATGTTCAAGGAGGAGTACTCCCCTCTCTCAACCGAATACTGAAAAGTTGTCCTTTGGATAGAAGAGAATGAAGGAAAACAGCAAATGCCCAAAAGCAGTCTCCCCAGCCTGTGAGCAAGGGATCAGTGGATGCTGTAGGGGACGGAGTGCCTGTCACACAGGATGGCTTGGCTCTTCTAGCGTGGCAGAGCTGAGATGAACTAAAATGCCCTCTGTAAACAAGCCAGCATTATTCATAAACAGCAAGGAGGAAAGCAAAAGGAGAAAGACAAGGGGAGCTGTTAACTATTAGCATAAAATCTAACGGTCATAAATTGCTCATGAACACATCTGAACTCTAATCACAACAATGAAAGCAAACAATTTTTAACCTGGGACTCAACTAGTTAAGAACTACGTGGTGCATCCATGACTGCCTGGGACATGGCCTCTGGAATTCAGGAAGCTTCTTGCAAGCCAGTACTTCTCACTGAAACCCCAATTAAAATGAAAGTACGCTCCTTAGGGTTGATATTCAGCCAGGATAGTAACATTGACCACTCACCCTGTTTCTTGAACAGAGTGCAGGTACTTTCATGCCTGGGATTTCAAGTGGAATTTAAGTGATACCAGAGTCCACAGCTGAGCTGAGTTCTACAGCTGTGCAGTAAGAATTGAAGCAGAATGAAGAAAGGCATTCTGTAATGCTGGGATGTGGAAAAGCACAGGATTCACTGAGGAAGAAACATTAATCTGACAAATGAAGCAGCACTGTGAACACTACTGTTAGCAACTATTAATGGCTGTAGAGGAGACATTCAGCTGGGGAAAAGGAGTGTGAAGAAAACCCTCATTAATGTGGCACTGACTTGAATACTCAACATCATTAGTGCCATAGAGTCACCCAGCTCTTTAGCAGAAATAGATGAGCTGCATTCCCTGTTTAAAGGAGCTGGCTTGCTTGCTGCAGCACCATCAAGGAGAATATTTCATTAAAGGTCAGATTGTCAAAAGTATTCTGGAGGTCGCAGACACCACACATACACAGAGACCTCTGCATCATTTTCCTTGTGAGTGCAGGCTTTCCACTGATGATGTGTAATTTGGTCTTGTAATGTTGCCTGTGTATCTGCACACACCCAGCTCAGCCAGCCCATCCCACAATCAGCAGTCACACCACCTTGTCCAGTTCTAACCCAGCTATACAATGGCACCTGCACCGGTCATGCTAAGATGATACTTCGTGCAGGAAGGGGTGAAAATGGTGCATGCAAATCCCCAGCATTTATTACACCCTCGCTCTCAGGGTTTGAATGCTGACAAACGCTCTGCACCCCAGGCTTTTCCCTTCACATACAAACATCTGAAACGACTTGCCTCCAGCCTCCATCTCAGGGAATAGTTAGCAAGCCCACACCAATTGAAATGCCTTCATTAAGTAGAATCTCTGTAGCATATGTACACTTACATTAAAGTATACTGAAGCTATCCACTGGGTGATTTGAAACATGTGACAAATATAAGAGGGGTGATCTCTCCTACCCAAATGTAGTTTTGTATTTAATGAGGCAAAGACTTCATCTTGAAAGCATAACTGTCAGATGTCCTGTTTACTTACCACAAAGTAAGAGGTGATTCAGCTTTCAGATTCATCATATTAGACCCCAAAACTGAAGCACTGAGTTAACATGTAGCCTGTGTGGGAGGGACTGCCCTGAGGCTGCATCCATCCTCTTTCAGTTTACTACAGCAAGATGACAACCCCAGATCAGGCAACTTACCACATTAGACAAATCCCACTTCATATTGGAGGGAATCTGAGGTTTCTAGCACCGACTTCACAAATGGCAGTGGTTTATGCAAACATCTGGGAGGAAATCTTTGCTCTTTTAGCAACCACGAGGACAGGATGCCTGGCTCTTTGGGGACTCACCCTGCTGTCGTCACATAGGCAAAATGTTGTAGGTCCCCTGTCCCAAGAGGTGTACTGTACAGCTACAGTGAAATACAGGGATTTGCTCTTACCTCTCTCTGCTGGTGGTGAAAGCTCAATAAAGCTGCGGCATTTCTCTTCTGAAACACAAAACCAATAAACATTTTATAAAACAATGCAGGGAACATAGGAGAAAAGAAAATCTCTTCATCTCACTCTCTTTTCAGTGCATACATCCAGTCATCCCTGAAGCTACCCATCAGACCTTCTCATCCCCGGTCTTTTTCTGACTATCTTTCCAGACCTTCACTGAGGCAAAGGACGAGAAGGCAACATTTTCCTGCAAAACTAGAAATGGCCTTTTCAGAAAAAAAGCTTCAGCAATTCGTAAATCATACTAGCCTCTGCTGAATAGAAAAATCTGTTGCTACTCATTCACAACATTACTGATGATCAGGTCTATTAAGGGTGTAGCTTGTAACAGACTTCAGATCCACCACTTCTGCTGAATTCCCACACACCCTAATCTCAGAAGAGCATTTCTAGCACTGCTTCTCAAAGAAGAAAGCAAAAAAAGAACTTTCCAAGTTAAATACTTCGTGACAGAGATGCAAGTCCCTCTTCTGTGGCAGACACTCATACAGAAATATGGTCCTTGGTCCTCACATTTTAGGCATGCTATTTCAACAAACTGTGTTAATATTTGCTTTGGCTTTTTATGTTGGCCAGGCACAAACTACTGTCTCAGCTGAGGATCCATCATTACTATCTGTAAGTCTCTGTTCCTGCATACTGCATTACTGCATTTGAGGGTCCTCTCCTCCACTTGACACAGTATTTTCTCCCAGACATTTCTGCTTCATGTAAGAATCTAATTTTCTTAATTTCTATCCCCACTTCTAATCTTTCCAAATCTCCTGTGTTACTTCTGTCATCCACAGCTCTCAGGATGCTACCCAGTTTAGTGCCATCTGTGGTTCTCATTAACTTGCAATTTGCTACTTCACCTAGAACTTTAATGAGGATATTCAGTAATGGCTCATCTAAACTGATCCTGAGATTAGCCTGAATAATAAAATCCTTTCTCCAGCTCAAGTCAAACTCCTTTTGTTCCAAGTAGTCTCTTTTTTATTGTTTTTATTGTCTACGCAGTTGCTTCAAAGATGCACAGTAGTGGGTGGGTTGTGCTTGATTTACAGGAAGCAGGAGACTGAGACTGACTGTGCTTCTACCCCATGCTCTATCCCGTGTTCTGCTGCAATCCAGATGTTACATACTTTCTGTGTTCCTTCAGGCACTGGGGTTATTCCAGGACTGCCCAGTGGACAAAAATCTCGTTTAGAGAAATCAGTCCAGGGATGTAGTTTCATTCCCAAAAGCATAATGGAAACACAACCCAACCCAAACCAGTTCTAAATAAACACATCTCCTTTCACAGTCCGTCTGGAAATGCTCATAACAAAAAGCAGCCCACTTGTTAGGACATGAGAGTTTCAAGCACATTCCCTTCTGCTCCAACCCCTCCTTCTGTCTGCTTTTCTTCACCAGTTATTTATTTTCAAACTCTGACAGCAACAGAGATGAAAAATACTATACTGAAAGGATGGCTTGGTTAAAGAAGGTGAGACTTTTGTACTTGGGCAGAGCTGAAGGGAGGGTGGAGGGCTCAGGGGAATGGCCCTGATGAAAGTAACTTTCATCACTCTATCTTTAGATAGAAATCTCTGTGTTGGCCACCTTCTGGATTAGTTCTGATACTTGATGTGTGTACCAGGCAGTAAAGAGCATCTGTGCACTGCAAAGCATCCACCTGTGCTGCTGGCATGGCACGGGTTCCAGCAGAAGGACTTGAGCAAGTCTGGGCAGAAACAACTCAAGGGTGAAGGGGAGCACCAAAGGGTTGTAGTACAAGTTGCACTACCAGTCCCTGGCACTTCAGGATTTACATTGCCAGTCCCACATGGCCAAAAATCACAAATTAAACCTGTCACAATATCACAAAAACTAAAAACAATTACAACATTGCAGCTCTAATCCTCAGGTCTATTTACCTCCTAGCTTTAGTTCCTTTGGGATCAGATCTTCCAGTTTTTTTCTCTGTATCTATGAGGTAGTAATTATCTTTCTCTGGGTTTTTTTTTGTTTTGTTTTGTTTTGTTTTGTTTTGTTTTTTAAGAAAAGGCCAGTCTCTGTTTAATAACACAAAACTACTCAGTTTGGTGATTTAACAATTGTAGTCCTCACAGTGATAGCTAAAGATTAACATCTGCATAAAATTACTGTGCTTAAATTTCTGAGAGGGCATGCAAAAAATTACCCTGAAGAGCATGAAGTAAGCTGTGTATAGGAATGGAGATATGGGGAAAGGGAAAGAAGGCTCATGGAAGTTCCCATCACAATGAACAGTGCCATCATAAAGTCACTGTCATCACCACCATTTGCACTTCACAGCCTCTATTTCAGACCAAAGAGCACACCAGAGACAATTATTCTTCATTTCCCTGCTCGGTGAACGTTCCAGTGAAGGACAGAAATACATTGAGCACAGCAGTGCACAGGGCTGATACCATCTAGGAAAAGGCAGAAGACTTTTCTCCCAAGTGTTCTCAGCCTCCCACCTTTCAGTTTCCAACTTCTGTGGAGTAAATACAAGGCAATAAGTTGTGGCTGCCTGAGCAACACACTACCTGTGCCTTCCATGCTCTCTTCACAGGAAAGCCACATCCCTGTGTGGAAGTATCTGAAGGCAAAGCGGTCATCTCCAGTCTCCCAGCTGTAGTGCATTGAGTCCTCAGATGAAATGTTACTTGCATCATCAGATGGAAGGGGGACACCGATGCACTGGGAGGCTTTGGTCTTCCCACACAAAGGCTTGGGCACTTTTTGAGTCCCAGTGCACCAGTAGCTGCCCAGCAAAGCTGTGGTGGAGAGGGTGAGAGCCAGCAGGTTCAGGATGACAGCCAGGAAGGTGCGGCGCAATGGCAGTCCCTTCAGCAGCTCCATCTACAACACACAAATAGGAGAGACCATCACACCAGCCACTTGTCCCACATAGCCTTATGAATGACACCTTTTCCCAGCATGCATGTGTGGGGAGGGGTTATGGGGCACTCATGCTCTCCTCACAGCATCCCAACAGTCCACTCAGCATGGAAGAACCATTTCTTGAAAGCCGGGGAAGTGGACCAATAGGTCAGCTTCAACCATTTCAAAGTATGCTGAATATCTGTACTGGAGAAGAAAGGGTGACATAGCAGGGCTGAGTGCATTGAGGTGTCTGAGCACATGAGAAAAATGAAAGGAACATCAGATTTTTCCATCTCAGAGACGACAGAGAGAAACTGATAACCAACTTCCCCAAACACCATTGTTGCCTTTACATGAAATACAATGAATGCTCTCTCCAACTAAATGAGAAATCTTACTGCCAAGTGCCCCAAAACACTTTTTAAGCAGTTCATTACTGTACCTAGGGAGATAGAGAGCATAGTGATTTCTCAGTGGGAAAAGGCAGGAAAATGTTCCCTATCGCTGAAGGTCACACATCAAAGCAGTGACTGGCTCAGAGAGGACATGCAGCTATCCCGACCTGGCATCTTAAGTACAAGCCACAGAGCAGCACCTTCCACCTGAGCTCTCATCTGCACATCAGAAATTTGGTAGGGTGGTAGGATGACAGTGTCTCCGCTTTCACACAAAGTGCCAAAGGTTTTATTTTTCCTATAAGAGTGAATGTTGCCACAAACATTCTTACTGATTTCATCTCATCATTAAAAGTAATTCAGAAAGCAGTTTGTGGACCAGAGAGTGTCTCACTCAGAGGGAAGATAAAGATTTTGGGTTCCTGCAAAACCCTGCACTGACTCCTGAGCGCCCCAAAATATCACTCCATAGATTGATTAGATGTCATCTACCCACACATCAACTTTCATGTAATCAATGCATGTCTCTTCCCACGTGGCACTCTCTATGTTTGGCACAACTTCATCCAGATACTCCCACCCTTTCCTATTTATGACTCTGAAAATCTATTTACCCATGAATAGATTCAGTTTGTACAGACGCTGCCTGCTGCTGGTCCTCTTCACTTAACTTCGGCTGACTCACCCAAGGCTGAACGTGTGAGAAAGACCCAGCATTCTGTGGAAAATACTATAAATAAACAATACAAGACCCAGCATTGCATTGTTTGTTACTGCACCACAGATAAAAGTGGTGCAGTTAGAATCACTTTTTCTGCTAACCAGCAAGCTTGGAAACATAGTCAACAAAGATGGTCCTGAAGCTCCTCTTGAAAAGCAGGACCTTATTAGCATCTCATCACACTGAGAGAGCAGTGCCTGACCTTGAAAATCCTCATTGAAAGCAAGAAAATACTCAGCTCCTGAAATTTTCCTGTACTGTTTCATACTCTGGCTTCTTTTGTCTCTTCACCAGGACATTTCTTTTTGCACCTTGGAGATGGTAATGTCTTAATGATGCCATAACTAATGGCTTCCATGATTTGAAGGTATGTAGAATAGCACCATTTTCACAGAGTAGACACCTACTAGGAAGAGTTTCTGGCTAAGATTAGTGGCAAAGTTCTCACTGAAAGTTTTTTTTGATGGAAAATTTGGCTTATGACTGAAAAGGAAATTATAGACAAAATTGCTCTTCTCAGCAACATAATTTTTCACCTGAAAACTGAAACCTTCAGCACACTAAGTTTTTCAGGTTTTAATCAATGCTTAATTATAAGATTTTTCTGTCATCAGGTTTTGGGTTGATCACACTCTCATTTAAGAAAAAATATTCCACTCACAATATTTACAAAAATCATCTTTCTAATTTAAATCTTCAATAGTGGGAAAAATATTCTCTCCAGTTGATTCATGACAGTAGTTGAAAGGCTATATAATTTCAGGAAGAATGTTAAGGAAAAGACATTAAAAATACAAGAAACAAATGAGTCAGAAGTAGGAAGTGGATCAAGGATGCAGAAGACATATGGAATGAGAAGCAAATCTGAACTACTTCCTGAAAACATTGTTAGAAAAGCTTCCCTCCACAAAAGCCAAGCACTCACTGATAATAACCAACCATAATATCAAGATAGCCCCAAAAGGAATGATAGCTGAATTTACCTTAGCAGGAAGTCTTTGAAGTCCTGTTAATTTGGATGAACAGCACAGGAGTGGGACTCACGCTTTGTCTGCTGTTTTGTTCATCTCTATATCCTCCAAGAAACCCAATTGCTGCAAAATCCCTTCCTTCTTTGTCTGGTCCCCTCCTCCTTTGCCTCGCCAGTGATTATTAAATGCGATCCTTCTGATCAGCAGCTGTTTGGTGGAAAACGGTCATTTTGTAATCCACAATGCAATCACAGCACAGCTGTTCTGGGAGATTATATGGGAAGTGATTGGTGCTGTGGGTTGGGATTAAATGCAGAAGAGTGACCTGTATTAACTGAGTAGAAAGTTTCTTTAAAACATTGAAAGATTCCAGCCATCTCCATGTGGTAGTTATTTGGGAACTTCTGTGGAGGAAGATGGCAGCTTTGGCCAATGCCACGGGGGAGGAGTGACCTTAGCTTGGAAACTGCCAGCACCCTTGGCATCAGGTCACCCCTTGCACTGTGCACTGTCTCAGCAGAATGCCAAAGACCAAAAGAATCCCAGCCCTAGGATATCTTCCTGGCCACACCTGATAATTGCAGAAAGGGCAGAATTAAAAAAAAAAAAAAAAAAGGAAAAAAATGTTTATGCAACTGCATCTGCTCTGAGGATTTCAGTCACTGAAGAGATACCAATACAGCTCTCCCCATGGGCACCAGAAATTTTGATGCCAAAGGAGCCTCTTAGCAAAAGAGCTGCTGAGTGGCAGACTGACACCATGACAGCAACAAGTCAAGCCAAAAGTCAAAGCATAGCAGAATGAGGCAGATTGTCAGTGTCAGTAGTGGCATCTTTTACCAAAATGTGAAGGTCACTGGGAATCCCAGCAGGTTCACGTTGGAGGAATTTGGGAACCTAATACAAAGAGACAGAGATTCACATTCACACAAAGTCCCCTCTGAGGTCTTGTCCTGAAAGTTTAAAGGCTCTCAAAATACCTGTGTGGTGTCAAACCCATGGAAAGTAAGAACGACATCACCTCTCATGAGAATGTGGTAGACACCATGGAGCAGAGCTGCACTGAATCAAACTGCAAGGGAGGAAGGAATCTCAGAGGAAGATACATCCTGTCTTCCCCACGAGAACTTTTGCCCAGTGCCAAGGCGGGTGAAGTTCGCACCACCACTGGGAGGGAACGAGGCAGATTCCCTGTATGCTGCTCTGCCAAGACAGAGAAAACCAGTGGTCCATCCATCCTCATCCCCCATGTCCAACAGCAGAGCCCAGATGCAGGTGCAGGAACAGCTCTGGGTGACAGCACAGCCTGTGCCAGCCCCACACAGCACGGGCAGCAGATGGAGGAGTTCATGGTCCAGTACATGGGCTGTGCTATCCTGGGCTCCTGACCCTTCCTGCCCTGAGCACACTGGGCAGTAGCTCTGTGGTTATTTTAATCTCAGTCACTGCATAAACTCCTCTAATATAGATAAGCATTTCTAAGACGGACTAACTGAAAGCAATGCTAAATTGTCCCTGTGCTCCATGGACTGCCTGCAGGGTTTTGATTAATAAAAAGATTCTGTTTGAAACAGATGTACTTAATTTACTGAAGTAGGTAGAACAACAGCTGATGCTCTTTAAATTATTTTTTCTTTCTTTTTTTTTTTTTTCAGTCTGTCCACATCTGGACACCTTAAATTTAACTTCTAAATTCTCAGTTAAAAATTTTTTTAAAAGCCTGGTTTACAAGCTCAAGAATAGATAAAGTCCATCTCTACTGATAACCCTTAACACCTTTCTAATTTTAAGCTTGGTTAGAGTATCATTAAAATCCAAGATTCTCTGTCAATTTCTAAAGCTGGGTTCATGGCATATGTATCAATGAAATTAAACTGAATTAGTTTCATATGGATAAGAATTCATGTTGGGAAATAAATTTGTCAGAAATACTGTATGGTTTAAAAACTATGCTTATAACAGGTTTAGTATTCTGACTAATGGCAGATATTTATCCTTCCAGAAGATGGCAATCTTTCTCTAGTCTTCTTTTCAGGAATCTCTGCTGCTCATGTGTATGCTGGGTGTATTTTAGACTTCTATTCCTTCCCTTGAAATTCCTCCCCCCGACTCTTTTTTTTTTTTTTTTCCCCACATTTTTATGAACACAAACTCTTTACTTTGACTCTGAAATAGGGTGTAGGTCCGTCTCTTGGAGTTATCTGAGCCTGGGAACACTTGAAATCACTGGGAAAAGGAAAAAAAGAGGAATGATTGCAGGAGCTTAGCTTCTGCTCACCTTCTGCCCTGCATGAAACTATTCTTTCTAACATTTTTCACAATATTTTGTCAAGTATCACATTAAATTTCCCCAGATAATGGCACACAACTCATAGAATGCCAACACCAGAGCATGTTTCCTGATGTTCACAAAATGATGGGGATTTTTTCTGGTTTTGATTTGGATTTTGGTTGGTTGGTTGTTTTATTTTTTAAAATTTTCTATTAACCTCACCTCAATCTGACCTATTAAAGACAGGAAAATCAAACTGTATCTGTCTTTCGCCCTGCTGTGCCTCCAGTTTTCTCCTCTTTTTATCTGATATTTCCCACCATAATTTGGCTTGGCTAGAGTTTTTGGATGTCTCTTTCTCTTTGAACTCGGCAGCAGCCAGTCCCTGGTGACTCGTTTAAAATTCGCCCATTGAAGTGAATGCCCATAGCAGTTGATTTCCTGTGCAATCAGCCAAATGCTTGACTTATAGAAACAAAACAAGGAAACAAAATGAAAAAAAAAAAAAAAAAGAAAACCAACAAAATCTTTGCACAGCGCCACTGTGGAGATTGCCAATTCTAAAAAACCCTGGGCGTTGACAAGTGATGCATTTTTATCCTGGCTCTATCACCATC